TTTTTATCTGGGAGTTCAATCTCTGTAGAAACATTCCCCAGCAGCACGTTTTTCTCGCCGGTCTGCGGGCGCCCCGCCAGCGGCATCGCGGCGTGCGGGGGTTTTTCCTCGGGAACCACGGCGGGTCACCGGGAGAGGTGGCTTTCAGAAAATGGGCTTTTGGCTTCGTTTGCTTCTTTGCTTTAGCCTCCCCCTCGCAGCCCTTGGTGCTTGCAGAAGTCACCTCTCCTCACACCAGCCAGATTTCTTTTCCCTACGCTCCCCGCGTAGTTTCGACGAGCCTCATTCCGCGCTGCCACCCATTAAAAATAAATATATTTTCCCTCCCGCAAACAGGCGTCTGTGCGGGTACAGCCCCACGCATCTCCGTGCGGACCCCCTCCCTCGCACCCTGCTTTTTCCTCGCTGCTGCTTTTTGGCACTGAGAAGTTTAAAAGCGGGATGACAACCCCGGAGCCCGGTATTGGGGAGGGAAGGAGGGAGCGGCCGGCCGGCCGACCCCCGCCCGCCTGCGGGCAACGGGCAGGCTCCGGGGCCGGGCTGCGGGCAGGCTCCGGGGCCGTTCGTGCCGCTCCTCCGAGCAAAACCCTCCTTCCAGCTTTTCCCCACACTGGGAAAAAAACCAACCCCGAGGTGCTGGGAAGCCAAAATGCCCAGAACAGTTGTTGGAACCCAGGGAGGGTGTGCGCTCCCCTCCTTCCCCCGCACCGTCTTTCCAACGCGGGGGATGACTGCCTGCAGAACGTTGGCACGCAGGAAAATTCGCCGGGTTTTCAAGCCATTCCCCCCATTTGCAGCCAGCCCCTGCCCCTGCCGCCGGAGGAGGTCTGGCAGCGGGGTTGCCCTCGCCGGGCACAGCCCGGTCCCACCACCCCATCCCCGAGGCCGCCCCCCCCGCCCCCCCATTTCCCTCCCGCTTCCACCCAGCATGGACTTTTATTTCCAAGCGATGCCGTTTTTTAGGCAGCTTTTGCCAGCGCTTTGGAGCCGGTGGCTGAGGACGGAGGAGAGGGGAGAGGTCGCTGCTTCCCCCCCCCCCCGCCTTCCTCCGTGCAGCAGGCGGTGTGCCAGGCACCGCCCGGCCGTGTGCGGGCTCAGCCTTCTCCGGGGTCTCGCATCATTTTGGGAGGGGGAAAACCAGCGCCGACCCCCGCTTAAGCCCCAGCCAGGCTTTCCCTGCAACGGGCGGGCCGGGACAGCTCAGCCATCACAGCTGCATTTCCCCGATGCCGCCGGGTTTTCACTGCACAGCCGACAACCAAAAAATTAAAAAATCCTAAAAAAAGCCAGATTTTTCCCAATTGCTCCCCGTGCCAGGCGGGATCAAGGCCGCTTTGCGGCTCCCAGCCCCGCAGCCTGTCGTGGGGCCGGCGGCGCCCATCCACTTCAGGCGGGGTAGACTTTCCCGTCAACGGGGGTAAAAGGACGGGTTGGAAAGAGTGGCTTCCACTTTTTTTTGCAGGATCGTGAAAATTTCACGACCGGCTTGCGGCGAGGGCAGAGCCCGCTGCTGCCGCGCCCGGCCCGGCCCGGGACGGGTCCCCCCGCCGAGTGGCCGCGGGCCCCGGCGTGGGGCACGGAGGATGCTCGGGAATGAACGG